GCTTCTCTGAGGTTAATTACCATCACTTTGAAAATGGTGTTCCCTCGACCTATAGAAACAAACACAATCTGCTCTTTACTTGTCACATATTATTCTCCTTGGAATTCCCCCATATCCTGTTTGGTAGAGATGAAGAAAACAATGACATTGATTAAGTTACTGATCATTTCAAAAGCAATTCTTATGTATGCATTTACTATGAGAATATTCTCCATATCTTATTCACCATATTTACATGCAAAAATAAAGTAAGTATACGGAAACAGGAAATGCCAAATACAAACATTAAAGTTTATAATATTTTCCGTTTGCATTTAAAGTTTGTACTGTATGTACCAAAATTAACAAAATATTTGTTTTTCGGTCTAAAAACCGATGATTACACAAGATTTAGGTTTTAATATAAACAGTATTTACAATATATATAAATACTTTACATTAAAAACCCTATAAAACACCAATAGCTCAGTGGTACAATGCAGGGTTCTAGCACGCCTCCGTTTCGAACCTTCCCTGACTCATCTCTCTCGCCGATTTTTTTATTTCGCTCCGGACTCAAAGAGCTGCAATTCTGTTTTCTTCGTTCTTTCTCCTTGCCCCCTAATTGATTTTCAGGTTTTTTGTCCTTCTTCGCAATTTCCGTTACTCTTAGCTCGTACACTTATTATCAGCTGAAGATTTGATCGATTAGGATTGATGAATATTGGGTTTTGTCATTGATTTGAGAAGTTTCAGTCTTCTCTACACATAGGAGTTACGATCACGTCTTGGGGTTTAGTCGAAATCCCAATGAAATCAATGTTTTAGCTCATAGCGAAAATCTCTTGATCGGATTCATTTTCTGACTTGCATTGACACACAGGAAGAGAGAAATAATGGATTTTGACGACGAAGACAAACCGAAAGAGGTTGCCAAAACCCGGAGATTTGCACCGGGTCGTGCCGGAAAGCCCAAACTCAAACCTAAACCCGAACCTACCGCAGCAGCGAAACCCGAGCCGCCGCCGTCACAAACTGATGACGTTGATGCGAAATTCTCTGTCTCCAAGGTTGAACCGGAGGTCTATAATGGCGCCGCCGTTAAAATGGAGATTGATCCAAAAGTGGACAAGGAGCCAGAGCCGGAGATGGAGACGCCGGAAGTTGAGTTGATGGAGGTAGATCAGCTTCCACTGCCGGAGCAGAAGGAGGAGGAAGAAGAAGAAGACGTTGTTGTTCGTGAAATTGATGTTTACTTCAATCCGTCTATTGATGCCAACACTAAGGTCAGCTAAAGATTCTTCAAAATTTTTGAATTTTGCTAATCAATTCAGAGTTTTTGATATTCTCAATTATGCTCTCAGCTTTACGTTCTGCAATATCCACTAAGACCGTCTTGGCGTCCATACGAAATGGATGAACGTTGTGAAGAAGTGAGTGTTCTCTTTGTTTTTTTGTTGCTAATTACTCTCTTTTGCAAATTTTCTTGTGGTCTAATCTTTTTGTTTGTGTATTATTGTGTCTTGAAGGTAAGAGTGAATCCATCTACGTCTCAGGTGGAGATTGATATGTCTATGGATGTAAATTCGAGCAACTACGACTCTGAGTTTGGAAGCAAATTACATATGACTAAGCAGGTCAGATTTTAGTTCTTCCAAGCTTTGATTCAAGTTTAATCTTGCAAACTTCATTTTTCTTTTTGTTGTTGGTTTTGGTAGACATTGACAACAACGTGGAAGCAGCCTCCTACATTGGACTATGCTATTGGGGTTCTTTCAGGTGATAAGGTATATATTTTTCTTCTTCCCTCTTTTTTTGCGTAGCTTGATAACATTTGTTGTGTAATGTGGACTGAATTTGGACCTTGTTGAGCTTTGCAGTTACACTTGAATCCTGTTCATGCTGTTGCTCAGCTCCGACCTTCTATGGACTATCTTTCAACTAAAAAGAAACAAGAAGAAGCTATTGAAGAATCTGCTGGAACGTCGAAAAAAAAGGTATGAGTCTCATGATCTAACATTGGAAAGAATTGAGGTGTGAAGATTTTGGTTCAACTGCAGATTCTGGTCTAAGTAGTTTGCATGATTCTATTTGTTTCATTCGTGGCAGAACAAGGCAGCGCAGGCTTCGGCTGATCAGAAACCAGTTGATGAAGAGGTATGAGTATTGGTTTTTTACTTAAAGCTTTTATGTGATCCTTTCTAATCTTTGAGTAGTTGTTATATATGGCGTTGTTAACTTATGCTTCTCTCGTTTAGAAATGGGTTTCACTCAAGTATCATGGACTTCAGTCCGAGTTTTCCTCCAAATATCTTATGGGAATGATGGCGAATGAGAACTCTTCAATAGACTTCAACATGAGCCCGTATGATAGTCTCCCCTTTGATATACAGTTTGTGTGTTTCCTGCGTACCTTAAACTTTTGTTGTTAACATCTTCTTGTATTTCATTGAAGGGAGGTTTATATCAACTCACTGTGCCGTGGGGAAAGCAGCAGAAACTCTGAATCAAAAGATATATCTATACGGTGCAGTCCATCATACTTTTCGATACATCAATTTGTTCTTAAGTGTTCCTTTAATGATATAGCCTTCTTCTGCTTTCAGGGCCTTGACCTCACTACCGCTTGAAGAACGTGTGCAAAAGTTGCTCTGCAAAAGTTTCTTAATGGTAAACTCTCATTATGTGAAGTTTATATGGATCCTTCTCCTATAAAGCCGTCTGACTAACTTGCTCGTATCATAACAGGGACGTTCTTTATTTCGATACAGTGTTCTCAAGTATTATGCTCCAGAGTACTCGGACGAGGATTTCTTAAAAGTCCTCGAACAATATGCCTGGTTAGTTCAAGGTTTATGGACTCCGAAGACTAGTCTACTAAAACTAGGCAAGCTGGAGTTTTCCAGGGACTATGGCCTGATGCAGTTCAGCAAGGGACCGACTATAAAGTACTCTGTCGTTGAAGCAACCGGGGCTCGGCTTAAGGGTGATATAAAGACGAGGTTGAGTGAGTTTGCCAAAGATAGGCCTCTGCTATGTGATTGGAAGTTCAAAGAGCCCACTGATGTTTCCTTTCAAAAATTCTACCCGGAGATTGCTGACAAGCAAGCAAACATTTGGAAGGAAATGGAAGTGAAACTTAATTTATTTGTTGAAACACAAAAAGCGAAAAGTAACCGGAAGAACACTGGAGGCGGCAAAAACCCTCCAGAAACAGAGAAACCAGAGAACCCGGCGACTCAGCCTGACAAAGGAGGAGCAAGTTCAAGAGTTGCAAAGAGCGTTGGACCAAAGATGTCGGAAGATATTCGGAGGGCGATACCAAAGGCCTTGAAAAAGGTGTTTCAAACTCACAAAGTTTGCAGGTGAGAGATTCTCTTGGGAGTTATATCTGAACTTAGGGATTTTTGTTCAGAATCACTGGATTTAATAAGGGTTTTTTTTGTGTGTAGCTACGAGACGATATGTCAAACACTTAGGGATTACGCAGTGCTCCAAGCGAACAATCCAAAATCTGATACAGGCATGGCAAAGAAAGTGGCGGAAGCTGTGGATGCTCACCAAGACGAGCTCAAAGAAATTATAAGCGAAGTGACTGTTAACATTCACGGCTCCTTTGTCTCCAAGTCGTCTCCAGACCATCCAGAATTTGATGCTCTCAGGTTAGTTTTGTTGTTTGAAGAATAATAATCACTTTGGTTTTGTTTGGTTCTTTATGTTTTTTCTTTTGTTTTCTGTAACGTGTCTCTGTTTTGACCATCAGGGAAGTGGTGATCAGCCTCTTACTTGTACCTGGAAAGAAGCTTATGAAGGCTCATGTACTTGAAGCAGGCAAGACCGTACTTGGTCGTCAAATCCCCAACAATGAATTCCTTAAGGTTTCACTTTTGAGCTCTCTTCTTTCACTTTTTCTGTGTTTTGATCAAGCTGTGGTTTTCGTCTGACTCTCTCTCTCTCTCTCTCTCGGTGTTGCGCAGGTGATGCACGACTTCTGTGAAGTTTACAATTCAGGGTGGGTTTTAAAGAAAGCTCGATGACGAATCAATCACACTAGAGAGAATAGTTTGATGATGTTTCCAAATTTTTGATATATCCCCAAGGGTTTACTTTTTGTTATCTTGTTTACGATTCAGTAATTTTGAAAGACTCGAGTACTCTCGCATTGTCCTACTTTTTTGCTTGGCTAATAAAATTACCTATCGAGAAATTATCTCAAGATGCATCTTCAGTTATACTTTAACTGTTTAACATATGCGCAAAAACGAAAAAGAAGATGAAAACATTAAATTTGAAGAAATGGAAATTATACTTGAACTATTCAAATCCAAAGGTTTCACAAGCGATCTCAAGTAAATTTGAAACAGGGGAAAAGTAAAACAATCTCAAAATCTATTGTTCAATAAGGGATCAAGAGTAACATTGCCCAATCCAGTTACTTGAAGAGGCTGCAGAAACCAAACTCACAGACTACTGTTGTTTTTTCTTGTGTGTTGTTTTTTCACCATCCTCATTTGCTGCTGAAGATCCCTCAGAATATGTGCACCAAGTCATATGCAAATCTACTCCATTGTTAAGGAAACCTACTGAGAGAAACAGAGACAAAAGGGAGACAGATGTTTTCCAGTGTGCATACATGTCCTTATCTTTTCCTCTAAACAAAGTAACCACTTACTAAACCAAAAATGCCATTTAGAGGTGTAATTCACAAGTTTTTAAGGAGCTAATCATTTTTACCTACAATATACCATTCAGATGTTCTTTTCACAAAGCTAATAAAACCTACGATTCACATTTTCATAAAACAAGTGTAACCAGCAGAGATTGAGATTAAGGATACGTCCAGAAGAGCACAAACGACTGCAAAAAAAGAGAAAACAAGACTGTGATTAGTATGAGCTTAACAAGTTGATAAAACACATAAAAAGACTAGTCTACTGCTATGATCAGATATACTAGCAAACTAGAAGAATAATTGGAGTCTACAGTGACAGATAAGTGATGGCATACCATGAGGCCACCAAGAAAGCCGTCAAAAAGGACCCGATTCCACGAATCAAAGTACAAGTCTGCTGAGAATCCTGCCTTGGCCATGAGCCCAACTGATGTGATCAGCATCACCACAAAGTAGAATACAAAACCGGTCAAGCCTGTGAATCCAATTACTCCTGCAAGGACTCCAGCGATGATAGACAGAAACGTCCGGCTGCAAAGTTTTCAGTAAACAAAAATTAGGGACACGAACATTGTTAACAGTTAAAACAGAGAAAGAATTTTGTGTATAGAATCACAGACCTGTTCTGTATGACTTTCAAATTGTTCTGGAGATTCTCTACGCTGAAGGTTGGTATGTCACTCATGACGTCCTTTGATCCCTTCTCTGATGAACCCATTTAAGATCACCTAACAACCTGATCTCATCAAATTTCAGATTACACCCAATGTCTTTGCATTGGATTTCGCATAATCAGCAAGAAAAAGGAAGAACTTGCGCGTCCATCTTAAATTTTTAGACTAGAGCACAAAAGTGAGGGCTTTTTGCTCTGAAATTCTTTAACATACTGAATTGAGCTACTTAGAGTGGAATTTGCCCCCAAATATTAGGAATTTCTACTCGATGCGACGATTCCATAACTGGGTTTTACTACTTGAACGTCGCAACAAATTCCTATTCCAAAATCTAAGACTTTACGACCTTATCCTACAATAGAGCAGGAAGATCGATCTGGTTTATCGATTCAATAGTCAATGCGAACTATGGTTTATCGATTCGAACTCAATTCCGATCTGCTCTGAGATCTACACAAACGGAATTACGAAAACAACAGTTTCAATTAGAAACGAGATCGAAGCAGCTTACTTGCTTTGGAGGAACTAATCGAGAGGATGAGCGAATTTGTGTGTGTGTGAGAGAGAGAGAGAGAGAGAGCGAGGAAGAAGAAACAGACTATCTCCGAATGTTTCTAAAGCCCACCAGAGAGAGCTTTTAACTTTTTGGTTTAAAATAAAATATTACAGTTTGGTTCAGACAAACCAGATTAATCTCGTATCATTAATTACAGTTTGGTTAAACTTTAACCGAATTTGTAACAGAATCGAGAGATAGCATCAAATCAATCACAGTAACTAACGTTTGAGAAAAAAAAAGGAAAATCCACATTGATGATGATTATTGTTACAATGGAGGGAATCAATCTGTAACAGAGACATTAGAGCGACGGCGACGATGGATGACGATGACGAGACTCAGCTCGGATTTTGGATTCGAGGACGGAGACATAGCGATCGAGAACAGAGATCACAGCTTCAAACTCCGATACTTGCTTCTCGATCGCGTCCATCTGTCCCACGAACTCGTCCAAGCCGCCGCTTTTCGACTTCATCTGCTCCGCGAAAACCCTTAGCCCAGCCGCCACGTCACCCATATCCTCGTACTCCGACGCTACTCTCCGATTCATCTTCTCCAATAGATCCAGTTGATTGCTCGTTCCCTTCATCCACCACCACGAAAGACTCAATTTCAGATCTCGGAAAAACAAATTGGATACTAAATTCTGCAAAATTGGGAATTTATTTCACCTGGAGCTCGGATTTGACCATTGATGATACACTCGTGAAGAGGTTTTGTAGCGATTCAGCTAGATCATCACGCCCATCCGCCATTGATATAGATAGACACTCCTTCTCCTTCTCGCTGCGGCAAATAATCGATAGTCTGACCAATTTGAGAGGGTGAGCTAATTCGAGAGAGAGGGCGAGGAAGAAGAAAGTCAGAAACTTTGTGTGTTTCTAAAGCCCATCACGGCTTCTTTAACAAAATAAAATCAAAGTTTTTTTAAAAAATATTTTTTAAACAGAATCAATTACTCTGTTTATTGATAGAAATTTAGAAACAGAGAGCAGAGAGAGCTGTTAGTTGGTCTCATGAAGTTACTCATTAACAATACAACAGTTTCACTTGCACATTATACAACAAAGGGCAATAGTTCCCTCACGAAGACATCCGTTTTGCAGAAAGTGAACAGAATGAATGATGATTATGGAATTTAGTTTTTATATAAAGTACATTTGATGTTGCGTCGTGTTAATTAACGGTGGCTTCTGTATAGATCGATGCTCCCCAATTGTAGCCTGGAGGTCGAATTCACGTCTCGCACACACAGAAACCGGAACCTGCATTAAATCCAATTCTATTATGACTCAACCAATCCGTGTAGTGTTGTAGATCAGAGAAAAGAGATTTGAACAAATACCGGAAGAGATTTGCTTGGAATCCGGGTGATGTTGATATTTTGTAGGATTTGCGTTGGAACCGCTCCTCAAATACCTGACAAGTTTGCTTGTCCAGAACCTGCCATGTCGATCCACCGTCGCTACTTCCTTCAAGAACCCTGCGGAAGGTAAAAAAAAACACAGTTGAGAACAAATAGCACAAATGTGTATGTTCAGACTTGAGAAAAAAACTAAAAATTTCAAACATTACCAATCTTTGGGGTCTCTCTCTGGGGCATCATTTGCAGACATGAGCTCGTATGCTATGAGTTGTTGCATCTGGTTGTATAGTGTTTTGTACATGATCCAGCACCCTGTAAGAACAGACATGATTGTTTCTCATCATAACATGTAAAAACATATATCAAAAAATTTGAATCAGGCTTTATCTATTTCATACCTTTTGCACCATTAGGGTCCTCCCATTTGGACTCTTGGATTCCATCAAAAGCTGCTGTTGCCTGAGGCATTGAGGCACGCTTATTTATGAATAACCAATTAAGTAATGGTAAGGTGATGAGAGTTGTAGTAAAGTGTTACTACTTACAATGCCAGAAGGAAGCTCTTCAGCACTTGCGAGAACAGAGCCAGAGCATACCCTGTTCTGTTTCAGAAACGGAAAAGACAGTGAATCTTTGCTCAACTTTTGGCATTTGCTGAGGTCAGTGACCAGTTCCCTTAAAGCGTCCAATGCAACCGGTAATGCTAAAGCCGTCTTAGTTGGTTTACCAACCAAGCATATGGTGAGACTTTTACCGTCTGTGTCTTTCTCGCTCTTCAAAGAAAGAGCAAGAAGCAAACCTTCCAGTGCATGCAGAAACTGCTCTGGGAACGAACTTGAGCGAGCCTTCCTCGTTTTGAAAGGCGCAGTCTTCAGATCCATTAGGACTTGCTTGATCATGTCAAGGATCTCAACTGCTCTTGCTACAGGTAAATCATCCTCAACGAAGTGAGTCAGGATAGGCAGAAACGAGTCATAAATGTTGGTCACATGGTCATCAACGCACGTGCGAACAGGGCAAGAGGAAGAGCTGACAGAGTTTTTTCCGTCTGAACCAAACTCTGATCTCATAATGCGCCATTCCTTGTCCCCACTTTGCCTTCCGGGTAAAGAAACCGAGGCGTCATCTGGAGAATGCAGGTTTCTCTCGATTTCTTCCTGCTCATTGCTGTCTCGTAGACTAAGAGCAGATAAAACTTGGGGCGTAAGGCTACGTCGACGTTCCATTGTCAGGGTTCGAAGAACAGCTTGCAAAGATGATTCTGTTGTGAGAGTTCGTCTTGACAAAACCTGAAGTGGAAAACAATAGAAAGAACATGAGTAAGGAATGAAAATGTTCTTAGACAAACAGAGCAATCCCTGTTTTTTTCTGGAGTATTACCTCATGCCATTTCTTTGTATATCGCTTAGTGACATCACAAACCCCGTCCTTGGAAATCGCAATAACATAATTCAATTTTTTACCCCATCTACAAGGCAGAGATTTTGTGAGAATATGGCAGTCCATTATGAGGATTTTAAAAAGAAAACCATGGAAAGAGGCAAGAAAGAAGACTTACCCTTTCTCATATAGCATGGGTTTGTCATACACTCCTTCACAAGGGTCAAGATGGATCCATCTGCAGAAAGACAATAAAAATGGGACAAATTACTTCACAATTGAAAGTTCCTACAAAGGAAATCAATAGACGTTTGTTTGGCAAATGAAGTTTACCTTCCCAATGAGTGAGAGAAGCATTCCGTCCAGACGTGATCTGTCAAGTCCAGTATCTATAAATGAACAAGAAATTATTACAAACATAAAAGCAATACCAACATTTTTGCAGGAAGTGACAATGTTGCTTGGAAGAATACCAAACGAGAATCATAGCCAAACGAGCGGCAGTATAGCGTAAAGCAGTTGGCCCACTCCCCGCAACGACCTCTCTTTGTTTCTACGAGCTGCATCAAACAGGGAAGAAGAATGGAACCTGTGTCAAAGAAGTCCAGAAACATACATCTTCCAATGTACAAGCTATTTTAGTTACCTTTAGAGGGTCATTGTACCGAGGGAATCGAGTTATTGTTGGGCACGAGGTACAGCTGTACAAGTTATAATGAAACAACAAAACAGTAAGTCAAAACGACAGCAGAAAACAATCGAACTTACTGTAAGAATCAAGTATTTCTTCTTTCCAATCCAATACATTAGATGAAATGTGACTGATTAAGCTACAAACTCATTTTCTGTACCGATATAGTTCAACTCGATTAGCTCCATAAGCAAGCTCTGAGGAAAGTGGGCTTCCCATCCCCTGGCCTATGGTTTTGTTACCACAACGGTCACAAGAAGGTTCATTGACCCATCTGCATTATCACCCAGTCAATAACAGAGAGAGTTTCTTTCAAACTACTGTGCCAATATGATATATTCTTCAAAATATGTATGCTGCACAGAGAGAATAAATAACAGTTCTCTCTATGGTTTCTTTTTTACAACTTTACACTTTTGGGTTATGTTGGTGAGAATCTGAGAAGTCGTAAGAGAGAAGGTAAAGGGAGCTTAGAAAAAAAAAAAAAAACCTGAAGGATCTTTTGAACCAGAAAAGTAGCTGAAGCAGGAAAGCGTAATCTTTCTCATGGTGCGATGGCTCGAAATTCCCCTCCTAAATGTTTGTTATAAACTTGGATCAGTTCTCACATAAGATCTAAAGCTCAAGTAAACCTCAACCTAAAACCTTAAATTCAATGTCAGATTGAGGGAATCTAAGCTCAAACCTTGGCAAGAGAAACCAAAGCTTTCTCCTCGAGCTCGTCTCTAGGAACAGTCTTTCGAGCAGCGTCTTGACGAACTGGATCCTCATACTGAAACAAGAAATTGCAATCATACATCAATACAAATCTCCAGATTCTTTTAGAACATTTCCAAAGAACAAAGTCTACTCTATCACCATGAGGATTTGGCTGACATAAGGCCTTATTCTCCCTCCAAATTCGTTGCTATCTTGTGCAGCAACATACTGTTGAAACATCATCGCCTCTTCCTCTGCCTGTAAAGCAATAAGCCCAAAAACCAAAATCAGAGGACCAACCAAAAAATTACTTCAAAAACTCTTAAGAGCTAAAAACAGAATTCAAAAACCAAAACCTTTACTAAGATAAAAGCTAAGCACTTTATAGAGAATTGGAAATAGTAATAGTTTTCAAAATCAATCAGTCTACAAATGCACATTTTCGATACAAAACTGTATCAAAAACCTGCAACATTCGTGCCAATTCTTCGTCTGCTTTCATCATCTCCGCATCAGATTTCTCAGCAGAGGTTCCTTCTGACCTCTCCTCAGAGTCTCCTCCAATTGAGACCAATCGAAGTTGATCGGATAGAGAAGCGAGATCAGTCTCATTCGACACCACTCGATCATCATCATCTACAGCAACGATCTATCATCGAACACAAATTGACCAATTAGATAACAGAAATCATCAGAGATATCATCCATCACCGGAAAACAAAAGCAGATTAGAAATGAGAAAAAATGGGTACCTTTTGCTCATCAGGAGGAATTAAAGTGATGGAGAAAATTTGAAACCGTAAAACCTGAAGAGAAACATGACGCGATTAATTTATGGGGGAAAAGCACATAATTGAATCGAATCGGAGACAAAAATGTATAGGAAGAAAAGAAAGAGAATTACCTCGAGGTCATCTTCAGTGTCGTATTCGATCGGAAAGCTTGAATCATCGTGGAGGATAACAAACTTCCGAGCCACCATTTTCGCAGATGAATGAAATTCCAAAATGATCTTCCTTCTCTCTTAACAGAGAAGAAAAGAGAAACAGTCTCGAAGAAGTGACGTTGACGAGGGGCTTTTCTTTGATAAACCACGAACCGGCCGGTTCCGTTTTAATTCTTAAAAAGACCGGAAATCGAAACCATTGGTTTGGTACGATTTGGGTCTATGCAGTGAATCACTAAACATGATTCAACATTTCAACTACAGAGTCTACAGTTACTTGTAATTTGATCCTTTTTAATTTGTGAATAAAAAGCTATCTTGTGTTTTCATGAACAAAAAAATCGACATACTTCAAATTTTCAAGTCGACATCACCCATGAGCTTGAACATATGCCATCCTCTAGAACCGATTATACATGATCTTGTAAAAGCCAAATGAATTAATCTGTAACACAGCTGAAAATGGATTGTCAAGCATATAGCTCTCAGATCTCAACAGTTAATACATTTCCCTCATAAACATCAATATATAGCACATAGCCATTTCAAGATGCCTTGTCCTGCAGACGATATTCATTTTCATAGAATGAAATACAAATATGCGATCAAACACGATGTCTTGTACATTCCAAGTACTTTGTTGGATGAGTTGAAGGTAAAAGCTACAAATGAACATACCATATGGTTAAACTCTTTCAATATAATCGAAATTTCACATGTTTTTTTTAGTAATACTCATATTGGTTCCATGATTATCTTTTTGGATAGCTACCAAATTTAATACTCTATCCGTTTTAAAACAGTTATAATTCCAAACCTAAATTTTTGTTTCAGATTAGTTGTTGTTTTTGTTTTTGCAATGTCGTTTTTGTAAAGCAATTCCAACATAACTTTAATTAAACTACCACTAAATAAATGCGGTAGAATTAAGATTGCAAATTATTAATTGTGAGGTTAAAAGTTAAAACAGTTAACATACAAAATCCATAATGTACGTAAACCAACATATAATCTGTTTTGCGAGAGGAGAAAGACAAGTGATGAATCCCAAGTACTCACTCATACCTGATTATTACTAGAAAATTGTATACGGGATATTCTAGAAAATTTCAATTTTTTTTACATTTTGACCAGAGGATACTATAATGGGTTGGTATTAATTCTAGAAAGAAAGACCGAAAAACGGACTAGGAAACAAGTGAAACTTGGTCAGAGCAGATCCTTTATTTACAATGGATAAAGACATAAATCTAACCAAAATTAACAGAACCGATTCCTACACAAGAGTCATGAGTCATGAGTTATACATAACACTTTTAAAGAAGTAAAGTTTTTAAATAAGCCTGAGTCATCTACATATAGCTAAGACTAGTCACTTGTTTCCTTATGGAATTGTGGGAAATATTCCCCATAAGTTAAAAAATCATAAAATTAGATTGAATTTGAAATATGCATGCATGTACTACAATGTAATCAACATTTGGAGTAGTCATATGTAATTCCTAAAATGTAAAACAAGATTTGTTCCAAAATCAAAGATTTATACCCGTTGTATGTTGCCACACGTTGTTCACTCTTATCACTTTCCTTTGTTTATAAACTCACCAATAATCCTCTCAACATAATCCACCAAACCTTATCAGATATCATCATAACCTTAATCTTCAATCGTTCTTCTAATTCATCTCATTCCGATTTGCTTTTTAACGTCGTAAGTCTTCTGTGTGTCCATCTCAAAGTACAGTGATTGTTTAATAGCTGTCCATGCTCTAATTGCTCAACATTTTAATCCATATTTCAAGGACTTTTATCTGATTTTTTTCTAAGATTTTAATTAATAATTTCACGTCGATATAACCCATGTGATGTGATGTAGAAACATATAGATATCATTTTGTTGTGTTCTTGATTTTTTTCTCTCTTCCACTATGGAGTTAGTTTTCATTGAGCTTCTGTACCTTTTGCTCCAAGGTAGGTTTTGGAAATGGAGAAAAATGGAACCAAAGATGCAAAGACGAAGGCTGTGAATCAAAAGAAGAGAAGTCTTCCAGAGACAGACGTTGATGTATCTAGTAATAAAAAACAGAAGATTGTGGAGGAGGAGATTGTCGCTCTACACTTAACAGCTTCTCCGCAGAGCGATGAACCTCGTCAAACCAGGAGGCTCACTGATTTCTCTCTACATGATATAAATGGAGTTCCACAGCCACTGGAGATGTTGGAGGTCAAAGACATTTTCATCGGAGGTGTGATCTTGCCTTTAGATGAATGTTCCGTCAAGGAGAAAGCAAAGGGCGTGAGGTGTCCATCTTTCGGACGGGTTGACGAGTGGACCATGTCTGGCTACGAAGACGGCTCTCCCGTGATTTGGATATCGACCGATTTGGCCGACTTTGAGTGTGTTAAACCTGCTAGAAGCTACAAGAAGATGTATGACTATTTCTTACAGAAGGCGTTTGCATCAATAGCTGTTTATAAGAAAGTCTCCAAGTCTGCTGGCGGGAATCCCGACACGAGTCTCGGTGAGTTGCTTGCGGCGGTTGCAAGGTGCATGATCGGAACAAGCAAATGCTTTTCTAGCGTTGCGGCTGTCAAAGAGTTTGTGATATCTCAGGGAGAGTTCATATATAACCAGCTCGCTGGTTTGGACGAGACGGCCAAGAAACACGAGGCAAGATTTGTGAACATTCCTGCACTCGTCGCTCTCAGAGATGAGAGTAGCAAAGGAGTCTTGACGTCTGATCAAGTAGTTGATGACGTGGAGAGAAAATATGCTAAGCTTTTACAAGATGAAGAGTATAGGAAGTCTATGCAAAGGAGGCCAAGGAAAAACAAGAAGTCATCATCAGCTTCTGCTTCAAATGGTTTTTACATGAAAACCAATGAAGATGATATTGCCGAGGACTATCCTCTCCCATCTTATTACAAGAACTCCCAAGACGAAACAGATGAGTTTTTAATGTCTGAATGCTATGAGGTTACTGGCAGTGAGGACCTACCTCGCATGCTTCTTAATAATTGTACGCTTTACAACTCTGATTCAAGGTTGGTATCTCTGGAGCTTCTTCCGACGTCGAAGCCTTGTGCTGATCTTGGTGTAACTATTTTTGGATCTGGTTTGGTTACTGCGGATGATGGAAGCTGGCTTTGTCTCGATGATTCGGACAGTACCTCTACACAGTCACATGATCGTGATGGGACCCCTGTCTTCCTCGGTAAAATAAAGGAAAGGAGGATTGAGTTTGTGTCTTCAAAGCTCTCCATTTCATTACGAACAGATGTAGCCTGGTAAGCTCTCAATGCTTGTATGCTTCAGTTATTAAAAGAACAAAAAAAACTTTTTGGCCTAGGCCCTAGGGCAGTGATTAAATATTCAATTAATAGGGCTTAATTATTTGATTAGTTATATTATTTTAGTCCCTTCTGATCTTTAAGATTTTGCTTGGTTAATGATTTTGTAGAAAAATAATCTATGTTTTTGAAATACTATTCAGTTTATTGCTCTTTTTTTTTCTCTCCAAATTTTCTTTTTTCAATTGTTTTTGTTATATAACACGATGGTGCATGTTTTAGACCTACACTGAACAATGTTGATGCTGCTATTGTTTGTTTTTTTTTGGGGGTTTTAACTGATCCTGCTAATGTTTTTGTTATATAACAATGGTGTTTTAAACCGTTGGAGAAATTATGCTTTAGGAATACTACTCAATACTATTCAAGTTACTGATTGCATGCTGTTTCCTTTTACGTACTTAAGCTGTTTTAATGAAGTAAGGCATTTTAATTTTCGTTCTTCTGCATGTTGTTTGACGTATCATCTGTATATATGCAGGTATCGACTTGGGAAACCGTCAAAGCAATACGCACCTTGGTATGAACCTGTTATGAAAACAGCTAGCGTTGCGGTCAGCATTATTAATCTGCTGAAGGACCAAACCAGAATGTCTAGGCTATCATTTCAAGATGTCATCAAAAGAGTGTCCGAGTTCCAAGAAGACGACAAGGCTTTTGTTTCTTCTGATCTTGTGGCTGTCGAGAGATATATTGTTGTTCATGGACAAATCATCTCGCAGATTTTTGCAGAATATCCTAACGATGATATCAAAAAGTGTTCATTTGCTATTAGTCTTGCAAGTAAGATGGAGCATAGGCACCACACAAGATGGGCCATCAAGAAGAAGAAGAATAAATCTTTGCAGAAAGAGAATCTGAATCCAAGGGCAGGTGTCGCACCTGTGATATCCAAGAGGAAAGCTATGCAAGCAACAACAACTCGCCTGATCAACAGAGTTTGGGGTGAGTATTGCTCCACATCTCCAGATGATTCAGTGCAGGCGATTGGTGCTGAAAATGAGGATAAGGAGTTAGAAGAAGAAGAAGAAGAAGAAGAAGAAGAAGAAGAAGAAGAAGAAGAAGAAGAAGAAGAAGAAGAAGAAGAAGAAGAAGAAGAAGAAGAAGAAGATGATGATGATGATGATGACGTAGAGGAAGAAGAGGCTGTTGAGTTTGAAAATTCTCATACTCCTCCAAGGAGAATACGAGGCAGTTCTGGAGAAATGGAAATCAGATGGGATGGAGAGATTCTAGGGAAAACTTCTGCTGATGAGCCTCTCTATCGACAAGCCCTAGTTGGAGGGGAAATGGTGGCTGTAGGTGGTGCTGTAATCTTGGAAGTTGATTATCCAGATGAAGTTCCGGTCATCTACTTTGTTGAGTACATGTTTGAAAGTTTAGATGATCAGTGCAAAATGCTGCATGGAAGACTCCTACAAAGAGGATCCGAGACTGTTCTAGAGAATGCTGCTAACGAGAGGGAGCTATTCATGACCAATGAATGCATGGATATACAGCTAAAGGACGTAAGAGGAATAGCTAGTCTTGAGATTCGGTCAAGGCCATGGGGACATCAGTTTCGGAAAGATAACACCACTGCGGATACCCTTGACCAGAAAAGAGCGAAAGATAGAAAAGCCAGAGGCCAGCCCACAGAATACTACTGCAAGAGTTTGTATTCACCAGAGAGAGGGGCCTTCTTTAGTCTTCCACGAGGTGATATAGGAAGTGGTTATGGTTCTTGCAATTCATGCAAGATAAGGGAAGAGGAAGCGGAAATATCAAAAATTAAACTGAATCTTTCAGAAACCGGATTTGTCTCCTGTGGGGTTGATTATTCTGCTGGTGATTATGTATATGTCAATCCTGAGTATATAACTACCAATGGATCCAAAAAGAGCAGTGAAAAATTCAAGTCTGGCATTCAAGTCTGGCAGGAACATTGGGTTAAAAGCTTTTGTTGTTTGCCATTTGCTTGAAATCATTGTCCCCAATGAGTATATCAATAGTTCCTTTGAGGTAAGAGTGAAGAAGTTTTATATGCATGAAGATATCTCTGAAGAGAAGGCTTATGCTTCACATATCCAAGAGGTAACAACTATTTCTTATGTTATATGATGATGATTTAGTGATTTTTTTTTTTTATCTAGTGATTTTTACTTTGATTAAGTTTATCTTACAATTTTTTTTCTTTGTTTTTTGTTTTTTTAGCTGTATTACAGTGAGGACATAGTTGTTGTTCCTCCAATGGCTATAGAGGGAAAGTGTAAAGTAAGGGAGAAACAAGATATTCTCTCACACTGTCAATATCCCACAGTAGATAATATATTCTTCTGTGAATATTTCTATGACTCATCCAAAGAATCTCTCAAGCAGGTATATGTTTTCTTCAATCGTTTTATTTGTAGTCAATTAGTTTTTTTTGTTCTTCTTAAAGTTGAACTGTTTCTATTAACTGTCTTGTAACAGTTGCCATTCAATATCAAGGCCAACTTCTCCACCACTAAGGAAGACACTCTTTTGAGAAATAAAAAGGGGAAGGGATTAGAGAGTGAAACTGATGATTCTGGAATTGTGAAGCCTAATGATGTACATGAGGAGAGGCGTCTGGCTACACTAGATATTTTTGCTGGTTGTGGTGGCATGTCTTGGGGACTGGAGCAGGCAGGTATGTATTATCTCCAGTCAACACGTAAATCCACCAAAACGCTTTGAACACGTTATATTTAATTTGCATGCTTAATTTACGTACAAGGTGTAACTCAAACAAAGTGGGCAATCGAGTATGAAGAGCCAGCTGGGCAGGCTTTTAAGCAAAACCATCCTGAATCAACAGTTTTTGTCAACAACTGCAATGTGATTCTTAGGTAAGAAAATAGCTAAACACAGGTTACCTTTTTCAAATGTGGCTATATATTTCTTGTGTTGGTGATGATGAGTTTGTTGAAATGATTATCTGTAGGGCCATAATGGAGAAATGTGGAGACCAAGATGATTGTGTCTCTACTACAGAGGCAAATGATCTCGCAGCTAAACTGAATGAGGACCAAAAGCGTACTCTACCACTTCCTGGTCAAGTGGATTTCATCAACGGAGGCCCTCCATGCCAGGTATATATATATATATATATAATTTTTAAGATTGTTGCTATATTTGCGTCTACAATTTTAGTTGAAAAGTGAAGAACTCTTGAGCTGTGAAATTTGGCAGGGATTTTCTCGTTTGAATATGTTCGACCAAACATCATGGAGTAAAATTCAGCGAGAAATGATATTAGCATTCTTATCATACACTGATTATTTACGGCCAAAGTATTTTCTTCTAGAGAACGTGAGGACGTTCGTGTCATTCAATAAAGGGCAAACATTTAAACTTACTCTGGCTTCTCTTCTCGAGATGGGTTACCAGGTAAATACTTTATCTCGTTCCACACTTGTTACAAGTTGGTTGCTCTTTGCCTCTTTGTTGAAACATGTGTTTAAAATGATGTTTTACATGTGCGGTTTGGGATCTTAGAGGCAGGTGCATATGGAGTTTCCCAATCTCGCAAAAGAGCTTTTATTTGGGCAGCTGCACCTGATGAAGTTCTTCCGGAATGGCCTCAACCTATGCATGTCTTTGCTACTCCCAAGCTGAACATCTCTCTCTCCAAAGGTTTGCGCTATGCTGCTGTTCCTAGTACTCGATTTGGTGCTCCTTTCCGCCCAATCACTGTGAGAGACACCATTGGTGATCTTCCACCAGTTGAAAACGGAGAATCGGAGACCAAAAGACAGGTATGATATATATATATAACACAACAAGAGAAAGTATACACACACACACACATATCTTGACGTGAATCGATTTTTTTGTTATTCTTGTGTCTTTGCAGTATCCAGATGATCCGGTCTCGTGGTTCCAAAAGGGGATAAGAGGAAACATGATTGATCTCAATGATCATATCTGCAAAAAGATGAACGAAACAAACCTCATTAGATGCAAGATGAACCCAAAGAGGCCAGGTGCTGATTGGCGTGACCTCCCAAATGAAATGGTCAGTCTTATACATCCGACTATGGGACACATGAGGGAATGCATGCTTACTTTCATTTACTATTACAGGTGAAGTTATCAAATGGGCTGCATGTAAATTTGATTCCAGACTGTCTGCCAAACAAATCTAGGAACCACAACCAGTGGAAGGGACTGTATGGGAGATTAGAGTGGCAAGGCAATTTCCCAACTTCCATCACCGATCCTCGTCCATCCGGTAAGGTGGGGATGTGCTTCCATCCTGACCAAGACCGAATTGTCACGGTCCGCGAATGCTCTCGGTCTCAGGTAAATAAACACTCTTATGTTTGTTCCTAGTAAGTGTTCTCTCTACATGTCAAAGCACTTGTTGGTATGGGAAAGATTGTTCAGATATGGCGTTTTAGAAATATAGTAATTGTTAGCTCTTGAGAGAAATGAAAATGTTGATTTCTCTATTGAAAATTTGCAGGGGTTTCCGGATAGCTATAAGTTCGCAGGGACAAGAAGAGACAAGCATAAGCAGATTGGGAATGCGGTGCCTCCACCATTGGCCTTTGCTCTCGGACGTAAGCTCAAAGAAGCTTTACTCAACAAGACTCTTCCACGCCAAGCCTTAAGGCAACCATTGTAGTAGTAGTCTTTGTAAATATCTTCTTGAAACTCATTATAAGAAATATAGTATTGTTAATTTGAATTTTACCGAACAAGACAATATTGTTGAAATGAATCTATCAATCAGCTTCTTTCAAGAGCTTTTTCTCTGTATGGATAATAGTTATCAAAGTAACAGTTTAATTTCTTAACCAAAAAAAGGATACAAAATTTCCACCATGTTAAATAATAGTATGAAACAACACTAGCTCTGCGTTTGTTCACCATTGCTTCTTTCCCTTTTTCTTCTTCTTGCTGCTGCTACTACTACTTGTGCTAGTGGCAGTTGCTGAAGAAGGGCTCTCGCTGGCATTATCAAACATACCGGCTTGCGCGGCGTTCTGCAACCACTCGTAGAACTCTTCCTCTGTCATTGTTTCATCCAAGTTTGCATTTGGCATCTTCTGGTTTGCTTTTTGCCCTGACGAACCACTTGCTCCTCGTTTTGCACCTGTCACGTTCGTGTTCACATGGAAGCTCGGCTTGTGTGTGTTCGCTGGACATCTCATTCCCTTCCAACAAAAGTTCAAATTTCAGTCCTTCCGAAACAAAAACCAAGCAGAGCAATCTCTTATGAAATGCCAAAAGCAAAACCGATTGGTTTTTGAGGTACCTGACAGATATACCACTGAGAAGCTTCGTACACTTTGCTGTCTGCACAAACGTAAGCACGCGGCATATCAACCTGCGTCGCAACAACAAACATCTCACATGACTATGAGAAGAATGCATATTAACTGAGTCATTTTTTTCTTGTAGATCAAACTTTTGTGTATGAAATACCTTTTGAAACAGCCCAAACAAGACGTGCTGTGAAGATTGTTCAACCCAACCATCTCCATCTTTTGCCTGATGAAAGTCCTTGCAATCCTTGAGATACAAAAGCAGAGCTCGAGTAAATCAATTACGTACTAGGGATTATACTTCCTCCCAAGAAGTTTCATCATTGGTGTTGTTAATATATAATATCTCTGAGATGCAGATGAAGAGTTGGAAAAAAACCTGGCACCATCTTGCTCTAGATTTTGATTTCTTTGTTAGAAACCAGCCATGGAGATTTCCGCATTTTTTACACGCTATTTGTCTACACTCTCTTAAGGCTTCCTCTCCTTCCCCTTCTGAGCTTCCAAAACCCGAGCCAGAGAAACAGTGTCCCCGAGCCTCCTGGGGATAAAGACAAACATCCGAGAAGATTAAGAAAAGAGAGAAAATGACACTTTTTGCAACAAAGATGTATTCCAGAAGATGAAATATCAGCCAGACAACTATAAACATACCTTTTGAGAAGAGCTCTGAAACCTCCGGAAGTAGTTCAGTAGCTCTTCCTTCTTCAATTCATCGTCATATGATTTCTGTTTTACAGAATCAAGCAATACCTAGAGGCCAGCCAGGGAGATGAGATATGGAGAAACTTGATGCACCGATACAAATTGATGAAATGAGAAGTAGATCATTACCTCATATGCATTCTGAAGTTTCTTAAAAGCTTCAGCTGCTCTCTCATTCCCCATATTCTTATCAGGATGGACCAACATCGCCTATCAAATCATTTGCTCATGAGAACTCAGCAATTAACAGAGGCAGAGAGACATTCACTTCTAAGAGAGAAAATAAACAAGAATTACCTTTTTCCTATATTCTCGCTTGAGATAAGCCATGTCAACATTCCCATACCGAGGTAACCCCAAAGCTGAGTAGTGGTCAGCACAATTAAGTAACCGAGAAACTTCATCTTCAGATGTTAACTCAGAGTCGGTTCCGCTAGTTGACGTCACTCCTGGACCACGGTCTCCCGGAAAGCCAGGGCCGTTTTCGAAAGATGGACCATTTAAGGGATCGGTGGGTATTTCAGCTGAGCCCTCCTGGCTTAATTTGTTCTTGAAGAAATATATGAGAGCATCGGTTGAGATGAAAGCAAGATTAAAAGCCAAAAGAAGACCTAGCCATCCAACATAACTCAATGCACTATAGACTGAATACACTGTGACGATAAGCAGTGCAACGCGCTCGTGCTTCAGCATGAATGCCAGACCTTTTACATCAACAAACATTGTATTAGACTAAATAATGCAAGAGAATGGTTGTTTGCTACAAGATTGAGATAGGAAGGACTTTACCTCCTACAAAGAGGAAGAGCAGTGTTGTCCAAAAGCTACCATAGAGCCATAGCAAAACCAAACCAGAAATGGCGAGGGTAATAGCTCCAACAACGAATCCAATGAACAACGACACCAGAACAGTAACAACCTGTATTTATAAAAGTAATTCCCATATGCATAAAAAAGTGATCATATAAGCAAAACTATATGTTAAATTCTTACCGACAACACTAGAAATTTGGTCACGCCGATCATGGAAAACGCTGAGAAGAGACCACACCACATGATTGAGAAAAAGGACGCTGTTCCCATCCGGATGAAAGAATCAAAACCTCGGATTGCACAGTCCAACCAAACCAGAGACAGAAGAAGAACGATGCTGCCAAAGTGCATAAGCCATCTCAAGACAACCGGGTACACTTGCCGAATTTTCTTGAAAACAACATCACGAGCTTTATACACTCGTGATCTGAGAGAAACCATCAAAGGCCTGTGTCTTTCCATCCACGGACTCGCTTCCCTTGATATGGTAGCAGTGAGTATCCTCAGTTTCCTGAGTGCTGCATTGTACGCTAGCCCAATATTCTCTGAAGGGCTGTTTGTGCTCAAAATCTCCAGCAAGCTTCTCATAACACCGTTGATGTGTTCACGACTAAACGGAATATACCTACTCTCTTCTGTGCTAAAACCAGGTTCATTATGAGGTCTATCTCCAGCTAAATCAGTCTCTGAAGCAGAGGCTTTCGCTGCATCCATGTCTCTATCTAAAGTTTCGGAAGCTGGACTGCTTCTTGTAGGTTTATTATCTTGGCAGGTCTCTTTCAGGACAGTCGCAGCGTCACTAGCTTTCCCTTGTGCCTTTGAAGAGAGCAGAGAATCAGAAGTTTTCTTTCTTTGCTTGGTTTGGTGATCAATTCCATTCTTCTGCTGGCTTCCTTTGCGAGCCATTACTAATTCAAACAGCTACGTAGAGTAAAACGCAATCAACTGAGACTCTCTCTAGCATTTCCTGCAAGTGGAGAAGGCAGAGAAATTACAAGTCAATCTAGAAGAACTAATCCATTGAAATCACAAGCAAAGAGGAAGTGATCAAATCGGAAACAACTCTAAATCTTTGAATATAATGACGAAATTTCGTTCCAGGAGAGTAATTGAGATCAAACCCCATGAAATTTCGTACGGTTGGAGGAAATTAAACAAAACTAAACCATAGTCACCGGAATCGCATTTCTCCATGGAGGCGAAATTATAAGAATGCGAATTCGAAGAAGACGGAAAAGGTACCTGAAACTGAGATTTCAAACGAGAGGCGGAGCGGAGGGAAGAGGATGAGGAGATTCCATGAGAAGAAACTTGAAAAGTCAATGGGAGGTCGGAGAAGAAGGCCCACAGGGAAATAACGAAGATTCGGGTGCCCTAGAGCAACAAATTCTTGCTCGTAATCGATGTGCCGAATTGGGATTTATCTGTGAATTTGGTGAGTGGATGAAGAGAAAGAAAGTAGGAGCACACAAATAAAGCCGATTGAAGAAAAGGAAGCTTCAATTTTGCAATTTTTTGGAGTAAAAGACCGACGCGATCAGAAAACGGAGGTTTCGACCGGCGGTGTCACTGTTTTAATTTTTTAAAGATGAGCTGGTGAAAAAAAAATCAGTTTTCAGATAAACATGCTGTTGGTGGTCAAACATTATTACACTACAGGTGAAAAATCATTTAAAAACCAGAAAAGGTTTTTGCAATCGTGGTAATTTCTTTATTTCTGTTGAATGAAATTAATAATAATATCGTATTTATTTACACATACATTGGGGGAGAAAAAAAAATCTTACACCTATTTTATTTTACTTATATATAAAACTCTATGTAATAATTGTGTATTTTTCGACTTAAAATGAGAAGTAGATTTTGGTGGAAAAAATCAATAGTTAACAAAGAAAAGTTTAGATATTTAGACTGCCACAAGGCTCAAACCATGGTGATTATATATTTAAACCTTCGAATTATGCATTTTTGTTATCAAGCAAAGTTAGACGAACTTAAATGGTTCTAACAGGTTTTATACCATTTTATGCATTTTTATACAGTAGTCAATCAATTATTATTTTTGCAGTAGACTGTAATTTCACACCAGTTTATGCAGTTTCATATGGTAGTCAATCAATTATTTTATTTTGTTGTGGTGTAGTTTTTTCATTTCTAGTTACATGAAATTTAATTTATAAGTTTTGACTTTACAAATAAGTGGTTCTCAAAATCAGCATATGACTAGTGCGTTAAATTCTTCTTCTTATAGTCCGCCAAATATAGAGGGTTCTCACTAATTTCATCCAGTGAGAAATTTAGATAACAAGAAAAAAACTGAACATCGTTACGTACCAATCACAGCCAAATATTCAGAGGATTATTTTCCCCACTTGTTATTTGTTAACTCTCAGTTACGTACCAATCAGAGCCAAATATTGTAACTCACTTACGTGCAATTGAGCCAAAATAGGTAAACGTAACAATGGATTTAACTTAAAAAATGGCCAAGAACAAGAAATGGATATCCTTTGGGTACCATCTATAAAAAAAAAAGACAAAAAAGGAGTTGATCAATTTGCAAGAAAGAAGACACAAGAGAGATCCTCTTGAGAACGCATATTCCCAAACTTGCAAAAAACATTTAAAACACAATAAGAGTACCAAAAGACAAATTTGAAAACCTCATTGCCTAACAACATATATTATTTAACTTATCCAAACACAAAGAGATTTGATCATACCATCGTTACTATGGTGACAGAAGCCACGAAAGCCAAGGCAGAGGTCTACCATGGAGACAAGACATGCAGAGAGAAATTCGGTTCGCTTTTGTCCGAAATCGGATTACCAAACCGGC